GGGAATCTTGCACTTTGTGTTGTTTCTGCCATATTGTTGTTTTTTATAAGACTGCCATTTGTCCCAATATTGCCAATGGGGTTATGGCATGGGTAGAGGTACCCAGGGATTGCAATAATATGGAGGTATATATCCAAATTTATGGTAAGATCTGGAAGAGTAAATAGTCTGATCTGAGTAAGGAGAATTTTCTGGAGAAAATCCCCTAGAAAACTCATCTTCAGATTCAGATGAAAATCTTTTCTGAGAAAATTATCTCTGTGATGTTAACATAGTACAAGAGTGGGCAAAAGGGCCTCTGTGGGCAGATTGATCTGGCCCATGGAGGCCCTGCCACTACCCCCTCCACATCAATCAAAGCCTGGGGGCAGGGGGAGCTCACGAAGTTTCCTCTGCCCTGCCCTGCGAGGAGTGTGCAGCACTTAGAAGCGCCATGCACTCCTTGCAGGGTGGGAAGAGACTTCGCACACTCCCACCGCCCCCAAGTCCTGAGTGGCCTGGAGGCAGCAGAAGGGGGAGCACACAAAGTCTCCTCCCACCGCCAGGGGTATGGGCACCTAGGGGGAATCCGGGGGGGGGGGCAAAGGCACTCCCCCACCCTCAGATCAATCATGGTCTGTGGGTGAGGAAGCAGGAAAGTATCCTGGCCTTGCCCCTTCTGCTTGAGGCCCTACTCCTTCCGGTGTGGCCCGAGGCCACTTCAAAAATTTTTGAAGTGGCCCCTGGCAAAAAATTAGTGCTCATCCTTGACACAGAAGGAGAGCAATCTGGGTCTAAAAATTGTGAATTAAAGGTAGATGAGACTAACAAGTCTCTGTGCTGAGTGTAGTGCTTAACTGGTGTTGACGGTGCTGTAGTTGAATCATGCCTCAGTGCTGAGCTGACTGACACCCCTGTAGTGGAGTTGGAGGTGACTGATAATATGGAAGATGCCGTGCCCTTATGCTGTGTTGGCATAGTTGTATCAGTGCCGGGTGCTGCTGAAGCGGATAAGGCAGGCAACTTGAAGTCTGATGCCTCAGAGCATGGTTTAGCACGTCGCTTAGTTAGCTGTGCTGTGGGCTCCTGAGATGCCCGAAGCATCGTATGTGCTGAGGTGCAGTGCTGCTGCTGTTCTTGGCAGCAGCTGGGATGGGGACGGCCATTTCGGTGCTGTAGCCCCCTGAGGCAAAGAGGAGACTCTCTTTTTTTGGCCAGCTTTTTGGTTCCGTGCTGTTTATGTTCCTCAGGCTATTGGTCCGGGTCAGAAGCTGGTCTGAGAGAATTCTCAAGTAAAAATAGCTTAAGGCGGAGGTCTCTGTCCTTTCACACTTGCAATTTCAACTTTGGACAATGAGGGCATTTTTGAGAGACATGCTGCTCTCTGAGGCAGCGGACGCATTGTGAGTACCCATCTGAAATGGGGATAGGCTCTTTGCATGAGGAGCAGCATTTAAAACCCAGTGAGACAGGCATAATGCTGAAACAAGTGAGTAACTGAAGGAAGGGGTTAACTAAGAGGAAAAACTTATCATGATCTAGTTATTTTTTAAAAGTAACTAACTATGCTAATTAACTGGGGAGAGAAAAATTTGGTTTTAACAGGGGTTAAGTATCTAGACATGAAGAGGCTTGGGAGCACTGCTAAGGTCCGTCTGTAACTGGAGGCAATAGAGAAGGAACTGAGGAGTAGGGAGTGGAAGGCTTGCGCATGCGTGATGCCTGCCATCTAAGTGTATGTGGCTGCTGACGCGCGCATGCGTGGCCCCAGGGACACTGCTCTGAAATCTCTGATCTAAGACTTGGCGGAGGCATGCTGACCTAATGTGGAGCACCCATGGGGACATCTCTTGAAGAAAAAGCAACATTATACTTAAGTGGACTACTGCAAGAAACAAAATATGATTACATGTTTACTGTCACACATCTTCTGCACACCAGTCCAAGTCTTGAATGTATTTTTCACTCCATGCTGTCCATTGTTTTTTCTGCTGCATTCCATGCCATATGATATTTGTTATCTTCACTTTGCACACTCACTCAATGCCAAAATGGTACAAGTTACTCTACTTTATTACTTACATACATTTTATAACTTTATACTTGACAAATGTTAAACAGTATATAAATCCATGGTACATCCACATCTTGAATACTATGTACAGATGTGGTTGCCTCATCTCAAAAAGGATACATTGACATTGGAAAAAGTTCAGAAAAGGACATAAAAAATGATTAGGGGTTTGGAACGGATTGCATATGAAGAGATATTAAAAAGATTTGGATTTTTCAGTTTAGAAAAGAGGAGACTAAGGTGGGATATGATAGAGGTCTAAAAAAAAAAAATCAATCCTGGCGTGGAAAAAGTGAATAAGGAAAAGTTATTTATTTATTCCCACAATATAAGAACTAGGGGTCACCAAATGAAATTAATAGGCAGCAGGTTTAAAACAAACAAAAGGAAGTTTTTCTTCACTCTGCATACAGTCAACTTGTGGAACTCCTTGCCAGAGGATGGCTAGGACTTTAACAGGGTTCAAAAAAGAGCTAGATAGATTCATGGAGGTTAGGTCCATAAATGGCTATTAGCCAAGATGGGTAGGAAAGGTGTCCCTAGCCTCTGTTTGTCTGGAGGCGGGTGACAGGGGAAGGATCATGTAAGGATTACCTGTTGTGGTCCCTCCCTCTGGGGCATCTGGTATTGGCCACTGTTGGCAGACAGGATACTGGGCTAGATGGACTGCTGGCCTGACCCAGTATGGCTGTTCTTATGTTATGTTCTTAATGTTTTGTCTCCAAATCTGGCCAGGAAACTTCCATTGAAATTGTGCTCTCTTATGTCAGAGCTACTGTAATTAATTAAATTGGTGGAGGAGTGGGAGAGTGGTCAGGTGGGAAGGGATGGGCTGCATGAACAGTATATTAGCAGTTTTTTTCCCAAAACATGGTCTAATGACAACAATTTGTAGCATACAAGATTTGCTTGAAAACTTATATGTGATTTCTTCAAATAGTATACATTCATGCAATGTGCAACTGCAGACAAAAAAGCAAACAGAATGTTGGGAATCAGTAAGAAAGGGATAGATAATAAAAAACAGAAAATATCATATTGACTTTCTATAAATCCATGGTATGCCCACATGCTGAATACTGTGTATAGATGTGGTTACTCCATCTCAAAAACATATATTGGAATTGGAAAAGGTTTAGAAAGGGGCAGCAATAATTACTAGAGGGTATGGAATGGCTTCTATATGAGGAGAGAATAATTAGACTTGGACTTTTCATCTTGGAAAAGATATGACCAAAAGGGGATATGATTGAGGTCTACAAAATCATGACTGGTTTAAAGAAAGTAGATAAGGAAGTGCTGTTTACTCCTAATAACAGAAGAGCTAGGGGGTCACCGAATGAAATTAATAAGCAGCAGGTTTAAAAACAAAAGAAGTACTTCTTCACACAATGCATAGTCAAACTATGGAACTCCTTGGCAAAGGATGTTGTGAAGACCATAACAGGGTTCAAAAAAGAGCTAGGTACATTCAAGGAGGATAGGTCCACCAATGGTTATTAGTCAGGATGGGCAGGGATAGTGTCCCCAGCCCAGGGTTGGGCATGATATGGCCCGTGGGCTGGATCCGGCCCACCAAACCATTTGATTCTGCCCGTGGCCCATTTTGGCAGGAAGAGGTGTGGGGAGCCATACACTTTGTGTGCTCCCCTACCCCCAGGTCCTGATTGGCTTGGGACTGGGTAGTGTAAGGAGTCTCCTCCCTGCCAACAGGGGCACGCGGTGCATAGCTAGAACCGCCAATTGTTCAAAATGGCTAGGGGTTCACACTACACGCTGTGCACCCCTGGCAAGGAGGGGGTAGGAGATTTTGCAAGCTCCTTTGCCCCAGGCTAATCATCGCAGCTGGAGGCAGGAGAGCATGCAAACTCTTGCCCTTGCCAGGGTTGCATGACGCATAGAGGGAACCACCAGCCAGGGAGCGAGAGACTTCCTATGCTCACCTCCCCCCAGCTGTAATGATTGGCCTCGGAGCAGGGGAGCATGCAAAATATCCTCTCCCCAACTTCACCAGGGGCACATGGTGAATAGAAGGAACGTCCAGCTGTTCAAAACAGCTAGCAGTTCCCTCTAGGTGCTGGGTGAACCCAGCAGGGGGTGAGAGACTTCACGCACTCCCCCGCTCCCAGGACCTGAAAGGGTGACAAGGAAAGGATCACGTGATGATTATCTGTTGTGTTCCCTCCCTCTGGGGCATCTAGTATTGGCCACTGTCGGCAGACAGGATACTGGGCTAGACGGACCACAGGCCTGATGCAGTGCGCATGAAGTCTGTTGCTCCACAGGGACGTGTGGCTTTGAGCAGCACATGGAAGGAATCCATGTGGCTGGGGCTTCTGTAAGAGGGAGCCTGCCTCAGGGACACTGTTGAGCTGCTGGCTTGGAGCCACCTAAGGCAAATGACTCCCAGCCAGAGCTTGTCTCCAGCACCCCAGCCCCTCTAGCTCTCTATCCCAGATCATCACCCAACTCTGGCCTAGGTCACCACCAAATCCTCTGTACATCATCCCAGACCACAATTCCCTCCCAGGCACTGCACCCGCTGTTACAACTCTTCCCCAAGTCAAAATTCACTCCTGCATCCTTACTCCCTCCTGGACCCAGCACCCTAATCCCCTGCCCAAGGTCACAGACCCCTAATTCACCTAAACTCCCTCTCAGACCGCACACCCTCTCCTGCACCCCAATTCCTTGCCCTAAGCTCCCTTCTGCACCCAACCTCCATTCCAAACCTTCACCCAACCTGCACCCCCTCCATAGAGATGTGCAGCCCTTAACCACTTCCAATAGCTTGGAGGGGACCCTGATCAAAAAATTATTGCCTACCCCTGCTCTAGTCTCTGTTTGCTAGTAACTGGGAATGGGTGACAGGGGAGGGGTCACTTGATGATCACCTGTTCTGTTCATCCCCTTTGGGGCACCTGCCACAGATCACTGTCAGAAGACAGGATTCTGGGCTAGATGGATCTCTGGTCTGAGCTGGTATGGCTGTTCTTATGTTTTTAATATTAATATTTTAAAGAGACATTTTACCCCATTCAAAGCCTTACAAGAATTGTGCAAAACAGATTATTTTAATGATCTATAGACAGTTTAATTACTCTTATGAACTGATGTTAATGAATTTGGAAAGCAAAAAAATTCTTAATAAAATTTAATCTTTGCTCAACTGATGACATGTACTGTAGCTTTTCATCAACTTGATTGCTCCAACAAGAAAAAAATGTAGGAGTTATGTCTAAGAGATCAATTCTGTCTATAGCATCAAATATATTTCACCTCACTTAAACTATTTGCTTACAAAAAAATCACATAATACACAAAACTGTCGCAGCATACTATTATTGAAAAAAATGCTTGCTGTCTCATTTTGTCTATGAAATTTTAGTTCAGATTTACTTCATTAGCTTTTTATATAATCTATTGTAAAATTAGGCAAGTATCTAGATGAGTTAGGTATCTCCTGGAAGACTTCTGTGTACTCCTAGGAGTACATATACACACCTAGTTGAGAACCACTGGTCTGGTGGACATGGAGGCAATCAATAAAGCAAAGAATGCATCAGTTTAAGAGGGAGAAAAGATATAATGATTAAATAGCACTTTTTAATATAGTATTTAAAAAGAGACTGTACAGAAGAATCAAAATAATCAACCCAGAGGATGTATAGAAGAATTACCAAACAGCTATATATTTTCATCAGAATCATCAGAACTTGTATCTCCATCATTACTGCTGCCTGCACTGCTAGTATCCTCTCCACTGTCCTCACTGCTTCTTTCATCCGTTTCTTCTTCCTCTTCATCAGCACAATTCTGTGTACTTTCTAAGATATAAATGTACAAGATATACATTTTAGGTAACTTAAGTTTTGGACAGTAAAACATTTCAGGCAGGTGATAAATACATAACATTTTAAGTTGATACCACCTTTGCAGCATGGATACTCAAGGACAAAAGAGGATATCTGTGAATTTGCAGATATAGTCATTTTACAGACTTTTCCAAAATATTTATATCATAAATAAGAACATAAGAATGGTCATACTTGGTCAGGCCAAAGATCCATACAGCCCTGTACTCTGCCTGCCGACAGTGGCCAATGCCAGGTGTCCCAGAGGGAGTGAATCGATCAAGCAATCTCTCTCCTGCCATCCATCTCCACCCTCTGACAAACAGAGGCTAGGGACACCATTCCTTACCCATACTAATAGCCAGGGCTTGACAAATAATGTAATCTACTCCTTTCAAAGTTTCAATTGAGGTCTCTCTGTCTGCCCTGTGTGGAGATGTGAGGGGGAGGCAGGCCCTCTGTGATGTCATTTTTCTTCATTTATACTTTTCTCCAGGTACTGGAAAAGACCATACTGTGTCATGTAGGGTTAGGCAACTCTCATGGTGTACATGAGCTGCTGACCATCCTTCATTATGAATTGAAATTTTTGTTTTTACCTTTTGTCTGCATGAGGTTTGGAATGAAAAGCCTCTGTATTTTCAGTATCTTTGTCCTCTGAGGGGTTAGTGTATGCATGTTTCTTGAACTTGACATGTTTCAGGAACAAACATATCATAACATTGATGATACATCCATTTCAACAGCACCAGGAGTTTAAATCAAGACTTTTCAAATTATCCCTTACCAGGCATAACATATAAACAGTTGTGAATATGTGGGTACAGTATGACAACAACAGCCTGAGATCATCTGGTTTTTAAAAGACCCCTTCAGACAATCTTAGGCTGTTATATTAGTCCCTGGGACCACTAACATCTGGTCTGCAAGTATTGATTCCTTTCCCCACACAGTAACGAGGTCCAGAATCTCCTGTATGCTCCATGCTGGTGCTCATCTGTGACCCTGGCAATTCCTGGTCAGGCGTGCTGCTGAAGTGTGCTGCCTGCTCTGAGGTTTGCTCACCATACTGGCCACACGGGAAATGAAATTTAAATTTTCCTGAGGTTTTTTCTTCCACATGCAGACAGCAGTAGAGTTGAAAGTCCTCGGTAGAGTGGTCACAGAGTGGGGCAGTGAGGAACACCTCTCGGAGGCCAAGAATGTTGACTTTCACATAGTTGCATCTGCACTACCATAAAGTTGACCATGCAATGTTGAGTTTAGCATTACTCCTCGTGAAAAGCAGGAGTACTGAAATCAGCTTTAACAGTTCTTAATGTTGATGGATCAGGCTTGGAGGTGTGGACTCATTGTTTAGAAATTTGACCTAATGTGGCTAAGTTCAACCTAAACTCCCAGTGTAGACCAGGCCTTAGAGTTGCCTTCAGTCTGTTCAAACTAATGATTGAGGATGGGGGAATAGACTGGCATAGCTGAACTAAGATTGGAGTAGTACAATGACAGATTAAAGATGCATCTGCAATGTCTTTCCTTCAAGTTCTTCTGTAGACTCATAGGCCATGGTAGAGGATTTTGTCCAGTGTGGTTACTATTTTTCAGTTTCGAATGCATGTTGTGAACAAATGTGATTCCCAGACATGACTCTCTAAGTCAATTCAAATATCTATCATAAGGATATTTTATTATACTGAAAGACAATATTAGTGCTTGAAATTGAACAATGACAATTAGAAACTGTTTGCTTAATGTGATTTTATAGCCTAATATATCATACTTAAGACATATTAAACAAAAGTGATAAAATTATTTCTCACCCTACTGGTTTTAAAAATAAAATAGAGCCCATGTAGTTACAACAGTCCCATATACTGTTTACTTGTGAAAAGTACGAACAAGTTTACAACTTACCTATCAGCAACTTTTCTTCAATAACTGGAAGAAACTGCTTGGCCTCAGTATTTTCTGGTTCATAGATTAGAACTGAAATTTGACAGTAGGATATGTTAATAATGCTATATGGTGACAATAGCAACTGAAAGGAAATATACCTAAAATTGCATATCAACGTTTATATTAGAGATGAATGTTAATATCTGAACTAATATCAAGACATATTGTTAAAGTGTATGCTGTTAGTGGCACAATTTTGACTTCAGAGATTTAAAATACAAGCAATCATTTCTCAACTATTTGTATTTATATTTCTATACACAATACTATATTAAACTACAGTTAATGTTGAGAGTACATATTAATAAATACATAACTTAGAAAAAATTAACAATTATTTTACAATAAACAGGCATAACAAATCCAAGATATTCAGATATAAAGTTAAACATAAAATAAACCCAAAACACATTTTGTTTGGATGTCTTTACTGTGGTAGTGATGCTATGAGGAAAAATACTTATAAAATCTAATCTACTCAAAAATTAGCAAAATCTAATCTGGAGCCACATATTCACAGCTAGTGTCTGGAAATTTACAGGAAATATCTATTCTCTGATCCCTGTTGCAACAGCACTTTGCCATACTATACTGCATTCAGTTATATCAGCACTATTAGCTCCTTATTTTTCTGAGTAATAAATTCACCAACAATAAATAGGTAAACACAAGAAATGATTATTAAGTGATGTAGCCAAATGACATACAATTCTTAAGTTTGTTATATTATAGCAATATATCAGTAAAAATTAAAGCACTTTATTGAAGATGCAAAATACAGTACAAAGTTAAACCAATGGAAGTAAACAAAGTAAGCGAGTTTTCAGTTATGCAATAAAAAAAGTGAGCCACTGATGTTATGTGAGATCTCTGGCCAGGATGCTCTCCAGAGAAAGGGGTAAATGGCTAAAAACAATGGACATCTACTGTGGCATTTTTAGTTGCCACTGAGCATAAGTGCTAACTTCCCCTATAGCCGGCGGCGCTGGACTGACACTCTGCATCAAACCCCACTCCACCCCTTCCTCCAAGACCCCAATCTAGCCCACCCCTACCCCGATTCCATCTCCTTCCCTGTAAACCCTGCCCATACTCTGTCCTCATTCCACCCCTTTCCCCAAGCTCCTGCCTCTTCCCAACCTCCTTCTTCAAGTGTGCCCATTCCCTGATCCTCCCTCACCCTTCTGAAGCTTCCTGAATGCAGTGAATCAGCTGTTTGCAGCACTCTGGGGGTACCTCTACACAGCAACATTATTTCAAAATAACGTAGTCCACATCTACACAGCGGGCAGTTATTTCGAAATAATGTTGAAATACTGTCAAGCTAGAGGACATCTTACTCCAACTCTTGTGACCCCCATTGTATGAGGAATAAGGGAAGTAGGACGACGAGTGCTCTATTTCAAAATAAGTGCTGTGTAGATGCTCCCAATTTTGAAGCTACACAATTGACATAGCTCAATTTGTATATCTTATTTTGAATTAAGCCCTGCTGTGTAGACGCACCCTGGAAGTGCTGGGAGAGTGGGAGAAGAGCTGGTCAGCAGGGCCGCTAGTGGGTAAAAGGGTCAGGGAGGAAGAAGGCAAGAGGGGGAGCTTGGCTGCTGATGGGTGCTCAGCACCTACTAATTTTTCTCTGTGGGTACCCCAGCCATGGACCATTCATGGACCACTATGCCACTGAGACAAGTTGACCTGATTACCTTAGCTTGCAAGGTGAGGACGCAGAGCATTGGGTGACCAAATAGGATACATGGTTCGGACCAATAAAGGACATTATAAAAGTATGTTGAAATTATTATGGAATTTAATTAGAAACCATGCAGCAGAACTAGAATTTCAGTTAATGTGCTGTTTTTAATGCTGCCAATAAAATTACTAGCAGCAGTATTTTGTACCAGCGTTGACATTTTGTAAACCAGCAAAATGAATATTATAGTGTCCTAAATGGAATGAAACAAAGGCTTTAAAATGGACAAAAGAATCAATAGAGTGGTAGGAATTCTACTGTGCGAGACTGAATTATATTTTCCTGCTTTGGTAAAATCTAGTGCCCAAGTATCAACCATTTGGATTCCTAAACTTCTACAAATGGTATAAAAGCCATGTAAGAAAGATGTTGTAAGATAGAGTGGGGAGCGAGAGAAAGAAACTAAATGATAGTATCCCATAAGTTATAAAGTTGTTTCAGAGACAGAAAGACATTTCTAGACCTCAGTTAAACTGGCAAAGACTCAAGTGACAGAAGATTATCAGGTCATCTTGGTACAAGGAGAAACTCTAAGCCTGTGTTTATAGATCAGAATATATACAGGAAACATGTACAGATTAGAAAAATGGTAAAAACAAATTGTTCTGTGCAAGTCCTGGTGGAGAACATATGTAAAAATCTGAAGCCAGAATGGTAAATATTCTAATTGTAAATGGACAGTTAAGAGGTGAACCCAACCAAAATCATTCTATTAAAAAAACTGAAAGAGTTTGAAGATAACAGCTTGCCACTGCATTGAGTACATGTCAAAAATTAACAAATGCAGAAGACACTTGATCACCTACCATCAGCACTTCATAAGAAATCACTGACACCATGAATCAATATTGTAACAATCTAAGAACAAACTAGAAACATTGTTTTGTTCATGCCATCTAAAGTTCCTGTTATTAGCCACTACCGAAAGACACGATATAGGGTTGGACGGACCTTTGGTCTTACCAGTATGGATGTTCTTATGTCATTCAAATATATTTTTGTTAAAGAACTGGCTAATTACAACCTGTAAATTCTAAGGATGCCCCAAAATGCAGTCTGAATAGGTCCAAGCAAGCTTAAAATTACCCCTGAGTCATAGACGGATACAAGGCATTTAGTACAAGGAAACCTATAAAGAAAATCAACTGGCCTTTGCCATTTTTCTTTTTGATGCAGTAAAAGACCACCTGATGTTGTTTATTTTTGGGGATTTTAAAAATATTTTTCTGCTTATTTTTACATTAAAAAAAATCAAGTTTTACCTCACTCTGAGAGACACTTTGATGGTTTCTATTCTGCCCTTTATCCTACTAAATGTTTTTAATGTGATCACGCACTGCTACTCCCATCAATGCAGTTCTACTAGCAAGTGTGCTAAGGTAGATCCACTGTCAATGTTTTAACAACTAGGTTATCTAATCCTACTCAAAATAAAATGATGTTGAACTTGAGAACTGTGTGTGGAAGTTCCTCTGCAGTATCATAGGGGGTGTGGTGTGGTGTATGTCTTTGTGATAATTTTGTTAGATGTCAAGCCTCAATAAGAGGAAGGGTATCTGAGTCCTTGTCTATGCTAGAGTTGTTTCTACAAAAACTGCCTTTTGTTGACAAAACAGTGGAAGTGCATACACTGCAATGCTCCTTATGCCGACAAAACTCTCTTGCATTGCTGACAAAATAGAACTACGAGTAGAGGCATAAAGCTTTTTAAAGCAAAGTTATAGCAACAAAGTATCAGTGTAGACACCCTGGTTGGTTACCATGGTCACTATAATTGGCCTCCACGAGGTATCCCACAATGCCTATCCTTAAGGCTCTAGTCAGCAATTCAAAACTTCACTATCCTGCACCCAGGTACACAGGCATCTGCCCCTAAAAAAGGCCCAGGAATTTTTGAAATTTCACTTCCTGTTTGCTCAGCTGGCCATGTTTGCAGCTGGCCATGGCACCTCCACACAGCAAACACTCTCTTGCTTGGACCACGCCTGAGTTGTTGGACTTGCTGACAGGGTAGGGAGAGGAGGCTGTGCTGTCCTTGCTCCGCTCCAATCATAGGAACTTAAACACCTATGGACAGATTTCTTGTGGCTTGTTGGAGAAGGGCTACAAATGTGACACACAGTATTGACAAACAAATCTGAGGGAGCTGAGGCAGGCACACTAGAAGGAGAGAAAAATGTAAGTCTGATGTTGCACCACAGTCCTCCCATTTCTATTAGGAAACGGATGCCATTCTTGGAGATGACTCCACCTCCACTGCCAACAGCCCCATGGATAGATAGTTCAGTGAGGCTAGAAGCAGAGGTCAGGGGCCTTTACCCAGTGAAGTCATGGATGAGGAGGGACACAACGGGAGACACATTGGATGTGAAGCACATGCCAAGGTTGTCAGGTGGTGTGGTGAGTCAGGACCTCCACCATGACTCCGCACTCTGGAGGTGTCTAGTCAGTCTCAGCAGCCCATCTCCAGTGTGCATGATACAGCAGAGGAGAGCCACAGCAAATGATCTTTTGCATTGATACTGCTTGGTTATGGGAGGCAGAACTGTCCTTTGTTCTGAATATTCTAAAAGAGGCTGAAGGGACAGAAATGTACAAGACTAGCTGTGTCTGCATATACGCCACATTGCCTTGTACAGCTAAGTACAGCAATAGAAAAGTGTGTTAATGCATACTGAGATTTCAAGGGAATCCTCCGGAGAGCTCTCTAGGAAGCTTTCCTGGAGATACTTGGCAATACACTGCCAAGGCTCCATGCACAGCTTCCCCCATTGGTGCAGGAAAGTTTCCTACCATCAGCAAACCCTTGAACAGGGACCAAACTTGCACATGCATAAGTACCATAGTGACCAGGTCTGAACCCACAAGTGTGTAGGATACGTACCCTTGCATTCCTCTTGGAATAAGATATCCACTTCAATGACTCATACCTGTGGAAAATGTGTTTTAGATACAGGCAGTCCCCGGGTTACGTACAAGATAGGGACTGTAGGTTTGTTCTTAAGTTGAATCTGTATGTAAGTCGGAACTGGCGTCCAGATTCAGCC